TTTACTAATTTGTCGAACATTTCTTTAGATGTTTTACAGTTTAGAAGATGCATTTGAGCTTTCTTTTCCGTCGAAGTAATTATTAATCTTTGAGCCTTTGCGTCCTTGAGTTCCCCTTCTGCTTTCTTTTTACCTGTTTCAGTTGTCTCAAGAATATTTTCGCCGTTTACTATGTCATAAACACTCATGGATTTAAATATAATTACTATTTGAAATTTCCAGAACTGAAAGTTGGACTCGTCTTTTAATTTTTCAATTTGAATTATTCCATCACCGCTATAACCGTTGCCTGTAGCCATTTTCTTTGTTTTACAACCACGTTTTCTGAATCTATTATTATCTTCGCGATCACTCAACTTTTTTAGTTTTTACTTTTTAAATTTGAATTTTCTTTACTGGGACTGGGCTTGTTTCGTCTCGGTACGATTCTACGAATGCATACTGTGAAATAAGAAAACGCCGGTCCGCGGGACTGAGGAATTTTCGGTTTTTTAAATTTCCCTTTGGTTATATTTAATAGTATAATTTTTATTGATCTCTCGGGGGAGCCTGACGAGCTCACTCTAGATGGTTTGTTTACACTTTAACGACTCGATTCTAACTGCCTGCGTCGGATCCGAAGGCAGCTATTTACATGCTTGTCGCGGGGCATGAAGTAGACGACTTTTTTTTGACGAGTCGCTAACGTTCGCGTTAATACGTTGAATTTCGATTGCACGAATTGAGCAGTCCTCGTCACTGGGGCCAGGGGTCCTATCGCCCTCGCCCACGCGCAAATGAATAACAAATAGTAGGCAAGGAGATGGCTCCTACCTTTTTCGCAGTGGACTCCAAAAAATTCCTCGGTGGGGCGGCGGCGACAAGTCCACACGCAGGCACACACACGAACGGACATACAAAAGAAACGGAATACCGAAACAGAACGCACTGCAAAAAAAAAGAAACAACGACGCAAAACTACAAACGCGAGACGATGAAAAGAAAAAAAAAAGATTTAAAGGGAGACTCTAAACAGGGCTTTTTCGAAAAATCCGACTTCAGCTCTCGGCGGCTCGCTTGCTTCTCTCGTCTTGATCTTCTTCCCCGGTTCGCGGTATTCCCCCACCCCGAGGATTTCGGCGTCAAGGATGGGCCATTCCACGATGAGGTTTGGTGACCAGGTCCTGGGGCCCTCGACCGCGCCGAGACCGGACAGCCGGTGTCTTCTTTGGTGGACCCATCCCGCGCCTCCATCGCTCAGGGAGAGGTTCCTCCGCGACCGGGGACGACGACGGCTCCTTCCTGGTGGCTGGAGGGTAGAAGGGGGAGAGGGCAAAAGCGTGGCATCCAAAAAAAAGGAACGTTCGAAAAAGAGAGCAAAGAAAAAAAAAAAGGAAGAAAAGAAAGAAAAAAAAGAAAACACTCGCACGCTCAGTCTCACTCATACTTGCCCCAGTGGCGAGAGGGTCCGGTTGGGCGGAGGAGTGGGGCCCGCAATTCGGGAGGATTCTCCTAACGAGGCATAACAACCAAAAAAAAAAGAAGGCTAATCAACATAATGAAAATATGCCTCGTTACACTATATACTTTAAGTTTCTCGTAAAGTTTCCATATTTACTTATACATATCGCGCCAGCATTATCTTCAAAAATTCGGATCGGATTTTGTATTTCAATTCCAAAATCACTTAATGATTCTCTAATTAATTTCAATTCACTCACACATACAGACAATGCAACATACTCTGCTTCTGTCGATGATTTCGTTACAATGTCTTGTTTTTTTGATTTCCAAAAAATAGTATTACCATACATTCTTATAAGATATCCAGTTGTAGATTTCCTATCAATAATATCCCCTGCCCAATCAGCATCAACACAACAATCTAGTACATCAGTATTTACATTTCTATCGAATCTTAATTTTAAGTTTTTAGTATAATATAAATATTTCAATATTCTCAAAGCGTACTTATAATGACTTTGATCATAACAATTTTGAAATCTACTTAAGTGATTCACATAATAGCAAATATCTGGTCGAGTACTAGAACTTATATATAGTAATGCTCCAATTAAGTTCCTATATTTAATATCTTCTGATATTGATAATATATATTTGCTCTATATATCTAGTGATTCTATATATTTTTCTCTATATATTCTTCTATATATTTTTCTATATATTTTTCTAATGTCATAGAATTTTCCTCATAATTATATTTAATATTTATTCCTAAGTATGTTTCTATTTGGCCCATATCTTTCATTCGAAACTTAATAGCTAATTTCTTTTTAATAAATTCTATTAGTTTTTCATTTTTACTACAAATTAACAAATCATCTACAAATATTATCAAATAAACTTTCTCATTATTATCTTCCATATAATATAAACAATAATCAATTTTACTACGTTTAAATTAGAACCGCGAAAAATACTTTTTTCTAGTCACCGTTCCACAATATCAGCAAAAGTCGTTGGCGGTGTCTTGTTTTTCTAGCCTAGCTGTTGTCGCGACTCCAACCGTCAAACCGGCGCACGGCAACAGCTAGGCCAATCAGGCGACCCGCGGAACTCCACGCTTTGTTTGGATCCTCGAACTGCCGCAACGGAGAAAAATTGAATTCTCCATTCGCGGAATCCTGGCGAGTACATATAAGAGCGTGAAACCCTTGAGCGCACCTACTGATTTACGAAGACTCACGTTAACATAGTCGCGAACAAGCATCTCTGCGAGATTCAGCTCCATTCAAAGTGACTTAGCTAAGCGCGACTGCGTTGCCACATAAAAGACACTCAAATTCTAGTTTCGCGAAGCCGCCCAAGGCTCGACACCAATTGTGAACAGTTTAACAAAGACAATTCATTGCATTTCAAACTGTATATATATTTCTTTATGTGTCGTTAAATATAAGGTGTACAGTCAAGTTTTGTCGTGTAATCGTGAGTGTATAAAGTCTTTCGTGAATCTAGCTTATAAAATAAACTTTGTTAATTGTCTATTTGAACTTTTCTTGCACCCAAAAACCAATCCCACATTATCTAGCTCAGCGCTGAGCGTTCCGGCAATTCGACGACTCAACATCTCCGTCGAAACATTGGTCTTTCGAGCCGGATAGGTAACGTGGTCGATGAAAGGTGCTAGTGCATAACGCGAGTGAGTGGCAATGGCTGAACTTGTGGCCAAACAAGAACGTTTACAATACTCGATTGACCGAGCATTGGTCAATTTCAAAAAGATTGGCAAAGACAATGTGACCATAACATATTCAAAATAATCTTTTAATTTTGCGCCGCCTCCGAAAAGGTTGAAATGTATTTAATATAATACCTAACGAGTAAATAGGTTTCATTCATATCTGTTACGTAATTGTATGATTGAATGAAATAGAAATTACTTCATTAGGAAATAGAAATTATTTTATACTTTTTAGTGCATTTCGAAGTCGGCGTATTTTTTTTCTAAAAATTATTTTATACGATTCTGCAATCGTTTCTCGATGCTCGCGTCCGTGCGTTAGAAGATTTTAATACTGTTGCATCGAATAAACCTGTCGGTAATCCTGTTTCGTCGGCCCGCGTTCACAAGCCGACAGACAACATCAACAAACACGAAGAATATGTGTCCTCTATTTAAATCGCGTCACTACCTCGTCGCGTGCCCCGCGTTCCTCGCAAAAACACCACGACAACGCGTTGATGTAATTAAAAGATACTCACGGTGTTTTAATTGTCTGAGTCAAAGTCACGCCGTCCAAGAATGCTCTAGTAAATATTCGTGTCGATTATGTCAAAAGAGGCATCATTCCTTGTTGCATGAGGAATCCGTTTTTCCGCGTGATGCACCTGCAAATGCGCCGAATAAAACAAACGTGTCCTCTCCTATGGCAGGGGGTTCGGAGATAAATACTCACCTCGTGTCCGCTAACGCTAAAGTTCCGTCTCCGGTATTGCTAGCAACTGCAATCGTCACGGTCCAAGTCCCTTCCGGACGCCGCTTGGTCACTCGCGCACTAATTGATCAAGGATCAGAAGCGAGTTTCATCTCCGAGGCCCTTGCACAAGCGTTACACGCGAAACGTACCCGAGTATCTGCGTCGATTTCGGCAGTCGGCGGCGTTCATGCCGGCACCGCGCGTCATGCGACGCAAATTATTGTTTCTCCGCGCGTATCCCCCACGCCGACGATCACTACGACGGCACTGGTACTCAACTCGCTGTCAACGTACCTTTTAACCGAACGTTAGCACACTTGGCCGATTTACCGTGGGCGGATTCCAATCCTTCCAGCCAAGTTCCCGTTCATCTTATTCTGGGCGCTGACGTATACAGCGATATAATTCTCGAAGGTGTGCGAAAGGGCGGGCGGGGTCAACCCATCGCCCAGCGGACAATATTCGGGTGGATAATTTCAGGCCCCTCTTCCGCGGTATCGTCTTTCCCACGCGTTTCGGTACACCATAGCGCGGTGGATGATTCTCTTAGCCAAACTCTACAAAAGTTCTGGGAGATCGAGGAGCTTCCCTCCAAAGTCATTGCTCGTTCTCCCGAAGACGAGCGGTGCGAGAAATTCTTTCAAGAAACTTGTACTTCCACCGGTCGATACATAGTGCGACTTCCTTTCCGCGATGAAAATATCACTCGGCTCGGGCACTCTCGTCAGAAAGCGTTGATAATGTTAAATTCCCTTTTTCGTAAATTTCGGTCTTAAATCACACTCGCAACGGAATATGTACAAACAATTCATGGAAGAATATGAGAATCTCGGCCATATGCGTCGCGTTCCCCGGTCTATTGCTTCGAAAAACCTCCGTGTTTATATTCTCCACCACCCAGTCATACGAGACGAAAGTACAACGACCAAACTTCGCGTAGTATTTAACGCGTCGAGCGTGACGTCATCCGGGTTAGCCTTGAATGATTTGTTGTTGCCTGGTCCTAAACTTCAGTCCGACCTCCCCACCGTTGTGAATCGATGGCGACAGTTCCGTTATGTTTATACTGCGGATATTGCTAAAATGTATCGCCAAATTTTAGTACATCAAGACGATCTCGATTTTCAACGAATTCTATGGACCACTTCCGATCCGAATCAACCGTATAAATATCAATTGTTAACGGTGACCTTAGGCATGAACTGTGCCCCTTACCTCGCGCTGCGCGTAATTCAGCAGTTGATACAGGACGAAGGTAACGCCTTCCCCCTCGCGATTCCTCTTCTGCGAGATTGCACTTACGTGGACGATATTTTGTTCGCAGAAAACGACGTAGAGTCGTTGCGGCGATCTCGTGAGCAATTAATCGGACTCCTCAATCGCGGTCACTTTTCCTTACGTAAGTGGGCAAGCAATTCGGCGGAATTGCTCTCCAATATCGACTCTTCCGATCACGGTCTCGCGTGCAGTAAAGAACTGTCCCCCGACGATCAAGTAAAAATTTTGGGAGTGGCCTGGAATCCATCTCGCGACTCTTTCCATTTTCGCGTTTCACTCGCCCGCACTGCACCCACTACAAAACGGTCTATTCTCTCAATTATCGCTAAATTATATGATCCTCTCGGCTGGGTTGCTCCCGCAATAATTTCGGCAAAAGTCTTCATCCAAGAGCTCTGGCGCCTCCGCGTAAGTTGGGATGAGACCCTCCCCGAATCGTCACTACGCAAATGGCAAACTATTTATTCGCACTAGCGAGGTCTCGATGGCGTTTCCATTCCGCGCTGGACCGGGTTACATCCCACTTCAACCGCCGTCGAAATCCACGGATTTGCCGACGCTGCGACTGTCGCATACGCGGCTGTTATTTACCTAAAAGTTGTCTCCTCTACCGGAGAGACAACCGTCTCGTTATTAGCTTGCAAATCGAAAGTTGCGCCTTTCAAGCCTCTTACAATACCGCGCCTCGAATTGTCAGCGGCGGTTCTATTGGCGCGGTTATTTGAATTCATTCGTCACTCTATATGCTTTCCACAAATTCAATGCTTCTGTTGGACTGACTCTTCCGTCGTCCTAGCATGGTTAAGCCAACATCCATCGCATCGGAAAACCTTCGTGGCTAACAGAGTGACCACGATCCAGTCGGTTCTTCCAAATGCGGAATGGCGTCACGTACCTTCGAGCGACAACCCCGCTGACTGCGCGTCTCGAGGTCTCATGGGAAACGAAGTAACCCCTTCGGACGATTCTGCCGCGTCCGAACACCGTGTATTAACATGCCACGCAACTGCCCAAACCCCAACTTGGGATCTCGCGACTAGATTTTCATCATGGGCAAAATTGATACGCGTGACAGCCTATATTAGACGGTTTGTAAACAGGTGTCGCTCTAGGTCATCATTGGACGTCTCTCCATTAAATAACCCCTTTGCTCTCACGGCAGAAGAGTGTGCAGCTGCCAAAACGTTCTGGCTGCCTCAAATTCAACAGGAAATATTTAGTACAGAAATTCAAGCCTTAAAAAACGCTAAACCCTTATCTCGAGAAAGCCGCTTGCTAGCCCTAACTCCTTTTCTCGATAAAGACGGGCTCCTTCGTATGGGTGGACGACTGCAGAATACATCCCTTTCATTTTCGGCCAAACACCCCATTCTCCTCGGGTCGCACCCTCTTGTTGAACGCATCATCGAGCACATGCATTTAAAAATGTTACATGCCGGGACCCAATTAACCTTAACTTGCCTCCATCAAGAATATTGGATTCTCCGTGCTCGGAATCTAACCCGTTCTGTAATTAATTCATGCGTTCGGTGCACCCGGGAAAGAGTCCGTGCTAGCACACAGTTAATGGGGAACCTCCCGGCCCCGAGAGTCAACCCCTCGTCGAGGTGTTTCGAGCACTGCGGCATAGACTATGCTGAGCCCGTCCGTGTCCGCCCTTCCGCCAGTCGAGGTCGGACCTCAATAAAAGGCTACATTGCCTTATTCGTATGTCTGGCGACCAAAGCCATCCACCTGGAGTTGGTGTGAGTTGGTGGCAAATTATTCCACACCCGCCTTTTTAAACGCGCTTTCACGGTTTTGTTCCCGGCGCGGTCTCCCAGCAGCCATCTACTCAGACAACGGAACCACGTTCGTTGGAGCAGATCGTGAATTAACTCTCGCGCACCGAGCCACGTTGCGCGATCCAGATTTCTTAACTCTCGCGCACCGAGCCACGTTGCGCGATCCAGATTTCTTAAATAGCACTGCGTGCGATGGAATAAAATGGAATTTTATTCCCCCCTCCGCGCCTCATTTCGGTGGCTTGTGGGAGGCCGGGGTCCGAAGTGTCAAGCACCATCTGAAACGCAGGAGGCCGGGGTCCGGAGTGTCAAGCACCATCTGAAACGAGTTCTCGGTGATTCGACGCTTACCTTCGAAGAATTCTATACTCTGTTGTGCTCGATAGAGGCCTGTTTGAATTCCAGACCTATTGCTCCCCTCTCTGATGCCCCGGACGACCTTACCTTAGAGTTTTGGAAACTCTAGCAAAACGATTATCTTAATACGCTACAACAACGCAGCAAATGGCGCAAAAAACTCCCATCGCTGAAAATTGGTCAGCTCGTTCTTGTCCAGAATCCCCTGCTTCCCCCATGTAAATAGGAACTAGGCAGAATAATTCAATTACACCCTGGCAACGACGGGTTAACACGCGTTGTAACGATTAAGACAGCGAACACTATATTAAAAAGACCAATCGTCAAACTTTGCCCATTACCAGTCGACACTGACCAGATTCGTAACAAGCAACTGCCCAAACCCGAGCGAGTGGCTTATTACGAATCGATGTAGAATCAGATGAATGAACGACAGAATCGCTATGCATCAGAGTGAGAAAAAAATATATATGTTCTGTCCTCTATCCACTAAACTGTTCGGTCGTCCGTGAAAATTTATGACTTCTTCGGTTTCACGGACATCTCACTCTTTCTCGGATCTCTCACTCAGCGGCCGACTTCAAACAAAGAAGAGGGGATAGAAATTTGCTTGTTACGAATCACAAAACTGTTGCTTGTTACGAATCAATACTATATTCATACCACGCTCGTGGACTTTCACGCAATCCGTACAAAGACTTAATTATTTTACACACTCTACCAGTATCATCTTCATAACTGTCTTGGATTTCCCTTGACTTTTAGGGTATAATCCGTTGACCGAGGTTTTCGAATTTTTTGCGTGCACTTTCCGGGGTTAAAAATAACCCTACCCGCGTTGGATCTATGGGCGACGTAGCACGCATAGACGGAAAGGGGGAACTTGGCTGGAAAGGCTAAACCGAAGAAATTCGAGGAAAAGAAATTAATCGCTCTTAAGCTGATAATCAAGAGTCGCGAGTTACGGATGAACTGAGCGCCTATTGTCAAAGGACAATAAGACCTCGCTTCCCCGCACCCCCCAGGCGACGAGCTACTCGGTCCACCCGTGATACCTGAGGAGCACGGGGAAGGGGGCGACGACAGCCCAACCGTTTCGCTCGTCAGTTTATATTTTGAAATATACATATAAATCGTCTCGGACATGCCGCCCGCCTCGTCG